GAAGGAGGACACACCAAATATTAATTAATCATATAAAAGTTGTCGTTAGTATTGTTCTTACAAATAATAAAAAAAAAATATATACATTAAAATAAAGTTTGTACATACCGTCGAAATAGTTTCTGCCATTCTTTTCGCCAGGGACTGTACCTTCATCATGAGAATTACTTACGAAAATTAGTTAATAATGAACTTTTTTGAATTATTCTTAAATAACAAAATATATTTCAACAATTTGATAATTTAACTCTTGATAATGTATATTATTTTATATTTTATATTTTATATATTTTTAAAAATCCATTTATTAAAAAACTTAAATTATATTTTTTAATTTTTATTAAATTTAGTATTAGATGGTTAAATCATATCACAAAATAATTCAATTTGAAATTTTATTATTTTAATACCTGATCGAAAAGAATATTTGTATTGACTTAAAAATTATTCATCAACATCTCATTCTGGTGAATTTTTGGCTAATGAAATAGACACAATTATTACAGAAATTAGAACTAAAAAATTTTGTGCTATAGTTACTAACAGAGGATTAAATTGTCATATTGCAAGAGAGATAATTTCAGAAAATTTTCATATATCACAAATATTTCTTGTATTGTACATAGATTGAATCTTATTATTAAAGATTTTATTAGTTTAATATTTACTAAAAAATAATTAATTAAGTGAGTATTGTTACAAGATATTTTAATAAAGCTTATCAACCAAATATAAAATTACAAGAATTAATTAAAGCAAATAATGTACAAGGCGGTGGATTAAAAAAGTATGTAAGTATTAGATAGTATATATATTATGATCATCTTGAACTGATTTGAAGATTACATATTTGTTTAATTACAGTAAGTTATTCTAATTATTATTTTTTTATTATTATTATTTAATATGTAAATTATTTTATTACTAAAATTAAAAACTTAATAGATTTCAGATAATTATCCTGATTTGCTTACTAATTATAATGTAAAACAACTTTTATGTCATGATAAATTTTATCAACATTATAAAATGGTAGCTGATATTTTAAAACTAATTCATGATGCTATATTTAAAGTTGAAGGACATAATTCAAATTTGACAGATTGTTTTATGGTAATAATTAAAATTGCTATTGCAATTAATAATCTTTTTACTAATTATAATATTAGCTTTCATAATTAATTATTTGAATTATTTAATAAGAGATTTAAATAATTTGATGATGATTTATATTTACTTGCTTATTTCTTACATCCTAAATATAGAAGTAAATTTTTAATATATTTTAATTATATTATATTAATTGTATTATTAATTAATTTAATAAATTTTAAGACGAGATTTAAAATTAACACTTTTTCATCGGTTAAATTTAATTGCTACACAAATATTAAAGAATATGAAATATAATAAAGCTGGTTGTCAAAATTTAGTTGCTCAAATGTATAAGTTTGATCTAAAGCAAACACTGTTTGAATCATCTTATGCTAAAAATCATGATACCTCTTTAATTTGATAAATGATATGTAAATCTTTTTCTAATTTTCTTGAAACAGTAACCATTCGTATCTTTGGTATTACATCATATAATACTTCATATAAAAGACTTTTTTCTACTTTAGGTTAGTTTATGAATTCTTATTATACTAATTTATCGATATTTCAGTAGCTAAGGTTCAAAAATTCTGTGTTTCAGAAATGAAAAATGAATTACATTATACTAGTAAAAATATGTCTATTGAAAAAATGGTCAATTTATTAATGGATTCAATTAATAATAAATTAGATAAAGAAGAAGATGAAGAGAATATTAATATAAATCTTAAAGAAGATTTAGAATCAGTAATAGATATTGAGTTAAATATTATTGCAACTTTGGATTTAAATGCTATAATTGTTAATGATAATATAAACCTTAATGAAGATAATCAAGAAAAAGTAAATTTAGAAAGTGAAGAAGATTTTGATTTAGAAGATCTAATAGATGAAGTTTTAAAAGATTTTGAGTAAAGGATATTATTATACAAGTATAGTGATATTTTTCATAATAAATTGTTAAATAATTTTACAAAATAAATTACATTTTTTTTTTCTATAAAATAATTACAATTTTTAATATTTATTATATAAATAATTGATCAATCAAAATTAAAAATTAATTATGCATTATAAAATAATTATGAATTATGAATTAATTATATATTATGTTTTATGAAATTTTTATCTATAAATGCATAATATATAATTATGAATGATATTACGAATTTTTTCATAATTTAATAATTACAATAAGCATTCTTATATAATAGAAATATGCTTTAAACTATCAAAATCAGATGAAACTTAAGTTGAATTTTATAATCAATTAGTCAACTTTTCAAAATAATAAACTGATTTTTTTATTTTCTACAATAGAACATGCCTCTAATTATCAAAATTAGATAAAACTTAAGTTAAATTTTATTAATTAACCAGTTAACTTTTTAAATAATAAACTGATTTTTTTACTTCTATAATAGAAAAAAGATAAGTAATTTAGTAAAAAAAGATAGATTTTTTATTTTTTATTATTTTATTTATTATTTTTATATTTTTAAATGATTTTAAAGGATTTTGAAAGGAAAATAGATTATATTATTATTATTTTATTCTTTTTATTTAAAAAATAGCAATATTATAATAATAAATATTTAGAATAATTTAAGAAGATTTAGAAGAAAAATTTATTATTTTACATAGTTTTTCTATTTTTTTGCTTATATTTTTAAATAAGAAATAAATCAGTGAGTTTTGGTTATATTTATATTATATTTTTGCAAATTATATTAGGTTTTTATTATTAATAAAATTTTAATATTTAATAAATTTTAATAAATAAAATTATATGCTTATTTAACTGAATTGATATCAAATTGAAACCAATTTTAAACTAATTTATAGTTATTTAAATTTTGAATTAATGTTAAATTAATACTAAACTGAAGTTAATTTTAGGTTAATTTATGGTTAAATTTAAGTTCTGAATTAATTCTGAATAGTTATATCTAATTAAAGTTGATTAACATTGATCAACATACATTTATGTTAATCAGAAAATATAGCAAATTAGCTATAAATAATATCAAAATTGACTTAAAATCAGTTATCTAATTTTTAGCTAATTTGGATTTAATATTTATTACTTGAATTAAAATTTATTAAATTAATCTTTTGATAGATACTATCAAGAATTCCCTATGTGATTTATATTTTTTTACTACAAATTCTAGTATTTTTTTGTAATTCACTTTTTATATATGGAGGAGATCAATAAAAAAAAAGAAAATTTATAAATTTTGAGTAATTTTAATTATTAAGCTAGTTTTATTTATATGACTATAATCAGCAAAGTGAACTAATAAAAAATTTTTGACTAAAAAGTGAATTTTCTTTTTTTTACTAACTGTTCTCTATATATTCATATAATACTAAGATTTTTGTGTATAAATGATGAATTATAATTAAAAAACTAAATTTAAAGCTTTGAGAATAATTTTTGTAAACCTGCTTAAGTATAATCATAATATTTTCTAGTATATCACTTAGCTATACTCTAATACATTTCTATATAATTTAATTCTTAATGATATTTTAAATAAAAGATATATTTATATTCTTTTTTTCTATTTCAATTTGTAATTTTAATTTTTATGTAATAAAATCAGACAGTAATGATAAAATTTGACACATATAATAATTTACTTTTTGAGAATCTACTACTTTTTTCAATTTCTTACATAATTTACAATCTTTATTTAAACTATCTTTTCACAAACTTCTTTCTATAAAAATTTGTTTTATATTCTTAGTTTAATTAGATATTATGAATGATTAAGTAGAAAAATAATTGATTGTAATATATTATTTGATATAAAATATGTTAAATAAATAATGGTTACTTTTGTTTAGAATTAATATTCATTTTATAGTATTTAAACTATCTTTTAGAATTACATTATAATTAGTATTATTGTTAAATATCATTACAACAATTGCATTAAAATAAAAATAAGAATGGTACAATTAATAACTTAATTAATTAAATAAACTACTGTTCACTAACCTTCTTTATTTTTTCAAATTTTAAATATTTGTATACTTCAATAGAAATATTTGAATTTAATAATAATTATTTAGAAGTTAATTTTAAATGTTAATTATTTTAAGTAAAAATTCATTAACTATTATTATTTTACCTTGACCTTTTTTTCAAAATGATAGTTTTTCAATAGGTATTTTTATTATTAAATAGTTATTATTTGCATAAAAATAAATATTCATCATATATAATAAATATATGTAATTATTAATTATCAGAAATTTTTGAATTAACTTGTATCATATTTAATATGCTAAACAAAACTAAATATTTAATCATATGATAAAACTGAAATTATTTAATCTTTAATAATTAAAATGCCAAAATGCTAAAACTTTATTTCTATAAATTTTTTATAAATATTTTATTGATAAATATTAGTATAAATTATTTAAGTTCTTTTAATTCTTCTAAAAATTTTACATAATATTTCAGTATATCTTCTCTTTCATAGCCATTAAAATATTTTTTTTCTTTTTTAGATTATAGTATTAAACTAATTTTTTAAGTCAAATCCAAAATGTTTTTATTATAATATTTTGTTTACAATTCTTATATCAAAAAAAAATAATCTTTTGATATAGTTTTTTTATTATTTTACTAAATAAAAATGAGATTTTATTAATGATATTTTTATCATCAATAAATGATTTTATTTTTTGATAATAATCTTCATACTTTTATATAAAGTTTTATTTTTAAACTAAAACTTACACATTTTTGAATAATTCTTAATTGATAAGAATTTTTATCATAAACTTCTTTGCTATATGCTCACTTACTTGTATTTTATTTAGTTTATATTTTTTTAAATAAATAAAATATTTATGTGTTATTTAATACTATAAAAAAACATAAGCAATATATTTTTTTTATTACTTAGAATATATTTAAGCTTTTTAAGCTTTTTAATTTTAATTTTTACATTATAATCATAATTATCATTTTTATTAAAATAAAAATCATTATTTGTATCTAAATTATTGATTATATTATTAATATTTATATCATTACTAGTATTTTCATTTAAATCTATAATATCTATATTAGAATTTGTATCTGAAGTTTCCATTTTATTTTTATTTTTGCTATTATGACTGGGTATCGATCTTAACGATGTTAAGCCTAAACACTACGTCGTTAGGATAACAAAGCTTATTTGCTAACAGGGAGTTTAAGTTGTAAACTAT